ACTCGGGTTATTCCGAGGTAGATCTGATTGCCTAGAATTGAAGCGATGTAAGGTGTCGTTTTATCGACAGAATTCTATACAAATAGATTTGAGTTCGATCCAATTCGATATTACACGATGTAAGCCATGTACGCAGTGCGGTTTTTAGTGTGGGTCAGCCTTGCAAATCGCCTGAAATATATCTAACTCGATTGATGCTCACACATGCCACGCAAATCGACCATAGTCACTGTGACTCGGCCTGATCGGAGTTGATTTTCACTGGGGTTCAACATCCACCCACTGCCTGATTATGACATCGCGCCCCCCCACCACATCGACACTCTAAGCCCCTGCGAGCCGCTGCTCGCAGGGTGGCAATGGTGTCTGTTCTTGGCCATGACAACCAGCAGCCGGATGCCCAATGAACGAATGGTGGAGGCAGATGCGAGGCAACAATGATGATGACAACGTACGATGTTGTCATCGTCTAGGTCCTTTGTGCCAATCCAGGTAAGCCGACATAAGTACTCCCTGCCATTCTCCTGTCTGACTCTGAATCCAGGTGCCACGTCGCTGACACTGTGAGCGACATGGCAACCAAGCGGTGAACGACCGATGTCGTCATTCGTCGTCATAGGACCAACAACGCACAACCCGACAAACGACAGCGGCGGATCACGACCTTCTCATCAATCCGGTTGCGGGCCTTGTATTCTTCAGTGTTGGTTGGGACCAGATGCGGTCCCAGTTGCCCTTCTTTGGGGGTCGAAAAACAACGCTAGGAACTACTACCACCTATGTACATGTAAACAAGCTATTATTAAGGAAAAAATAGTTCTACACTGTAGATAGTTTTTAGGTTTCCTGGTTTCTGGTTTCCTGGTTTCCAGAAACCTAGAAACCAGGGGAAACCACTGAAAACCTGGAATCTATTTTTCCATCTTACTGATGCACTTACTGCAGGTGGCTTGGAAGAGATATCATAAGTAACACGGTTAATTCTGGCAACCTCATTGGTAATCCGCGAAGAGATTCTTCAAAAAACATCAGCGGGGAAAATAAACCTGCATCCAATAGCAATAACAAGTAAAAAAGTGAGCAGCGCTCCCCAATGTTAAACTGCAACGATACGAGCCAATCCGCTGTCATGAAATTTTCGGATTGGACCGCATGAAGCACAATAACCTAAAGCATGGACATCATAAACAATCAACGCCCCCCTGGGAAGAGAAAGCGCCGCATGGGAATGAGGTACAGAAAACGCACCTGTTCATACGCCCTTCGGTCGGCCATGACGCCCACAGCCTTTACAGGCAACAATACAGCAAAAGCCTAAGAAATCTGGTTGTACAAATCTGCTTTCCTGATTTCCTCGATATAGATACTGTCCGCACGTTGCAAAATCTTTACTTGATCGTGCATAACGGGACCTAAAATGCGAATGGCCAGTCCCAGCCCCGGGAACAGATGCTGTTGCACAAGTGGAGCAGGAATTGACGAAAGACGCCCCAGGGAACAGACCTCATCTATTCCGATTGAGTGAGAATGACCCAACAACTTGAGTAGGTAGCGGATAATAAAGTTTTATCGGATGTACCCTTGAACAGCTCTCGTAATGGCTCGATAACTTTGAGTTTCATGTCCTTGAGGAGACCGCCGACATTGTGATGAGTTTTGATAGTCGCGCTGGGTCCCTTGAAGCTGATGCTCTCTATGACATCAGATTAAAGGGTGCCCTGGAGGAGCCATTCGACACGGCTTTTGGCTGCCGCGCCTGCCTTTTCCTCCCCATCGGCAGCGGCCTCGATTTTCGCAGCCTCCTCTTCAAAAACATTGATGAAAGTATCACCAATGGTTTTCCGTTTCTGCCCGGGATCTTCGACACCTTCGAGGCGGGACAGAAATAATTCCGATGCATTGACCGCTGTCAAGTTCACACCCAGGTCCTTATTGAGCATTTCGTTGACCTGTTGTGCTTCGTTCAAACGGAGCATGCCATTATCAACCGTAATCGCATAGAATCTGAAACACGGTCAAAGTTGTTGCCATTCTCATGTGGCCGATAACATGGAAGTTGGGAGAAGGTTGAGAAAGCTGATCCCCATGAGAAATCCATACCTAAAACTCGCCGCATAAATTTCAGACCGAGTGTCACAGTGAGAGCTGGGCAGCCTGGGCTCACCTGCATTTCCTCGCCGAGTCCCTCAAACAAGGTGTCTACAGACTCTTCTCCTCCGATCTTATTGATCTGTATCTCCGCAAAGCCATGTTCATGGTGGTCACACTTCGTTACCTCCCCACCTAGGTTCCAGGTGATTTCCTGATGATGTCAGTCCAACCGCGAATACGGCTATGGCCTGAAACCTACTTGAAGTCCGTAGCAAATGCCGAGGATGGGTATTCCGAGCTCAAAGATGGTAGGATCAGCATGCGGCGCATCCTTGTCGTATACAGAGTATGGGGAACCGGAAAGGATGATACCTGAGTGTGTAAATTGATGTGTGAGCATTGGGATATTTGAACGGAACGTACCCTTGGGTTTGAAGTTGATATCCTTGATCAAGGTCGTGCATGGCATAAATTCCGCATATACATTACTCTCTCGACGTCTCCTAGTTATCAGATGGCTGTACTGTAAAATTATGAGCATCTGACGGTAAATCGACGCCTTTGTTGAACTGCCGAAATCCAGAATTAAGATGGTATCGAATTGGTCATGAATCTCTGCCATTGTATAGAGCTTCGTTTCCCATCCGATCGGCAGGGGACGATGGTAAGAGGAAGAAAGAAGGAAAAAAGACCAAGAGGTAACATGAGAAACATAGCGCAACATCCCAAAGCGGGATAGCCAGAGCAAGTCCGATACATTTTCTGGGCTGGAACATTGTGAGGACAGGCTACTAATTACGCAGGGTAACAGTCTTTCTTGTAATGAAAATTTTCCCTTTCCGAGTCCACAACAAAGAAAGTCAGTCAAAAATTTTGAATATGCATGCTCATAAAATCCAAGGAATAGTTGAACGGATCCTGCAGACCTTTCCCTTTTGTGCTGCATTGTCCGAACAATTGCAAAGAGTTCGTTCTCATTCTTTCCCGCCCCTTGTATTAATTTTGCATCACGCTGAAAACAAAGGATCCCTTTGCTTCGGCTTCCCTCTTAATTTTTCTCAAAGGTCCAACCCCCACCACCACTATATCACAAACTTGAAAAGGCTTTGAATATTTAAGCTTTTGTTCACCCTTTACCAGCTGAGAAAAGGAAAATCCTATAAATCCTATGCCTTTCCCACGATGAAATTTTTTAAATATAATCAGAATGCTCCTGGAAAGAAAAAGTGTTGGACTTTCTCAAGATATTCTAATTGGTAATATTGGGCAATGTTTCTCATGTAAGATCGCCATGCCCAGGGTATTCCAAAATGAGACATAGGACCGAGACGACCGACTTAAGACCGATTCGACCAATGTCTGAGCACTTTAGCACGTGTCCAACTTCAATACATCTCTGCTTCGCATTCGTCAAATCCCATCCCCTGCAACACTCGAGAGATACCGAAAGCGACAACGTTGTTGTTCCCCCAGGACCAACAAGACTGAAGTTTGCAAAATTCTGACATTTCAAGATCTGCCCAAGCTCAACTAGGCTCTCTGAACACCAACTTCAAACACATTTAGCCTCACGCACCACACGTTTACGACTAAAAGGCTACACGGGCTACATGGACACGAGAAATGACCACCAAGGTCTGTTTTATTGCCCGCTTTATCTATCATTGACTGGGTTGCAGATTAAGAGGATGGCCAAGATGCCTCGGCACGACACACTTCCACCAACTCTCGCCCCCGCTCCCTTCCGTACTCGGGTGTTGAGGCCTGGTCCCTGCCATTTGGTTTGACAGACAATGGCACCTCCAGCTCCAATAACCCCTCCTCTCTTCAACATTTTCAATGAGCGTACGTGAACTCTGCACCCGCTTCCTCCCAAGAACCGCCTTGCGTCTCCATCATATGTGACAAGACGGCCACCCCACCACGTAGAAGATACAGATGACAGCAGCCGGGAGCCATCGCCCATAACCCTGCCCCCATCGTCAACTGCTCTTTATTGCGTGCGATGTGCAGCAACATTTCATCCGGTGGGGAAAGTAAGTGAGCCGTTCGTTCTACTGAGGTGTGGGTACGGCTTTGACAGGTGCAGCCTTGAGGCGATAGCAAGACCACCACCACAAGATCGACCTGTGGTCAGTGCAGATCTCCTCACCCTATCGTTCTTGTACTAACATTTGGCCTTTTAGGTGCAGCCACAAAAGTGCGCTACATAGATACAGGTTCTCTCTTCCTTGCCACCGTCATCTCCACTGACCTTCAGCGCCAGTCCTCGTCACTGCCACTGACACCAACCTTCACACCCCCAACAACATTTCAACACGCACGCACGTCACAACATGTCTGGACACGGAAAAGGTGGCAAGGTGAGCTCAAAATGCAAGGTAGATGGTATTCAGCTATTGACGCATTCTTGCCCAGGGTCTCGGCAAAGGTGGTGCTAAACATCACCGTAAGATTCTTTGCTACAACATCCAAGGTGCGTCGATGCCACCATTGTCCTTTCATACAACCCAATTTACACCCTGTATACCACCCAGGTATCATGAAACCCGCTATCCGTCGTCTCACTCGCCGTGGCGGTGTAAAGCGTATCTCTGGTCTCATCTATGAAGAAACCTGTGGTGTCCTCAAGATCTTCCTTGAGAACATTATCCGGGAATCCGTCACCTACACTGAGCACGGGGATACTATTTTGGATCACATTTAGAGTGCTTTCGTGATGCAAAGGTGAGTGCGGGTGGGGAAAGGCAGCGAGTAAAGTTGTGGCCACCGTTCCCTCTTAAATGAGGGCATCTGTGAATGGTGGCCCCTCTCAGTCTGGCCATTGGAGCACCTAATTTGACTAACCTCATTAGAATGCAATGTGTACATAATTTCGCCCAATGCGCCTCAACTTACCTGAAGTCATCAATCCCCAAAGATACAAATATACATGTCCCCTGTTTTACGGCAGCGAGACTCTCGGAGCATGGAAGAAAACAGCTACTGCCGCTTACCTACACTTTGTACAGGACATTGCCCCCCGAAGTGTAACTTTAACGCATATGAAAGGCTTACATAGAGAAGTGCAAGGCGGCCCCTTTATTGGTAATGCCATGGTTTTTCGGATGGGCCACAAGACATTGTCCTGGAAAGTCGGAAGAGGGAGAAATAGGGTAGATTTACCTTTCAAGTTGATTTCAAGCTCCTTCCTGCTCCCATGCTTCAGCGATATCCACCTCTAGATGGTTTTCGCGTCAGGTGGGGAGTCGCAACAAGTGTTCTCGCAGTCTCATGACAAAACAAGCCATTTTCCAAAGCCTCTACAGACCTAACCGCTCAGTATTTTTGACTGATTCTTTGATAGGCTCATTCAGGTTGACCAGAGGTATGTTCTGGCTACCTCTCCAGTTAGCGCATATTTTTTTTTTCAGATGCCAAAAATGGCCTCCAGAATAAAAACCTTCTCAAGGCTCCAGCTTTCACTGAAATTAGTCCATACCAAGGGAAGTGTAACACAACTACATAATGTAAAAGAATACACAAATACATTTGAGGTACAATAGATTCTTAGAAAGAACCAGAAAAATGAACCAACCTTCATTCTTTTTGCACTCAACTGTATATTGCATAGCTTCGGAATGGGGTACAATTTGATTGTTTTAAATGATGCGACAACATGAGTTGAATCTTGAAATTTGAAACCTCAAGGTAAGCCCACATCTCGATTCTCAAGACTCTTTTTCTCATTTCACCATTCACTTCCTGACAGAAAATCGGCCTCCAGACATCACGAAGACTCTCATACTTGAAGGGCGCGAGCCAAAGTGGCAAAGGGATCCTCAAAGGTACCTCCTTCCATCTCATGCCTGGAAGATGTTCTCAAGTACGCTCTGAACAGTTCCTGCATGACAGAATCGTTCCGTCGATAGACCTATCCGTCATTACGACGAGCTCAATTATTTGAAGAGAAGTAACAAGCTCCTCTGAGGAACGCCAAGGACAAGGTAGTATATTCACTTGATCTGGTTTGCTAACTTTTTACCTGATACTAGGAGGGCTGTGCCCTGCTTCATCAATGAAAATCCGTACGTACTCTTCATTTAAACCTTCATCCGACGTACAATTTATTAATACAACCATACTACTAGACTCTCGCAAACCATTCATCCAGACCGTAACATTGAAAGAGATCCACAACGCTGTTCCAAAACATCTCCTTCAAAGTAAGTAGTACTCCCTTCCCCCTTCTCTTACGCCTATCCTGGTACCAACCTCACCTCATATAATTCCAGAACAACCACTCACATCAACGCGCTACATCCTCCAGGACCTATCTACCTCAACGCTGGTATATTTTGTCTTGGTTGTTGATTTCTACATCTTTGACAATGATGACAGTGTCTCACATATTTTTATTCAATCAATAGGACATGATCGGGTCACGGAACGTTATACGACGGCGTTGATATCATCGGGTTCATACTTCATTCCGTGAGTCCCCTTGATGTACTTTTGAATGGCTCTGACATTGATCATTGCGCATTACAATTGATTAGTACCTCTTCGTCCTACATCTTGCATGGTGTGTGCATGGGTCTGCAGTGATTTTACTTGGGCCCCTTTTGGTACTTGATTTTAATCAGGCAAGTCTTGCTCAATCTCTATTTGCTACTTTCCCTCAATCTTTCATACCCGGAAGGTCTCTCTTCTCTTTAACATTTTTATTCACTCCGCGATATAAGGCATTCTCCAAGTGAAAGTATTATCCCAACTACTTTTTCCATGATCCATTTGATTCACGCTCGAATCTGGCGTCGCTTTGCGCAAGTGGCCGAGATCTTCTTTGGCAAAGCTCCTGTAAGTAGTACCTTTAAATTTGCTTTCTTTATTCGTCCATCTTCCTATAGTAATAATTTACCGTTTCCACAGGTCAATTGCAACTCCTCGCCACTAATATGTATGGCCTGCGCTGTCATTAATAATGACGATCTCTAATTCAAGTCTACGATGACCTGGACAAGCAAATGAACATTCAATAACCTTTGGTTGCAGCTTCCTCCAGTGCACCACCCTATCCAAACCGTATCTCGTCGGTCACTCTTGACGACATGCGCTACCATTGAATGCCCCTGCCGGGGACCAAGCTCATCCTCATCAGCCCTTGTGACAAAGCCGATCCAAATACAAGCTCTGTAATTCTCCAATGGAGGTCGACTCCCCCGCTATGTAAAACACAAGTCATAAGTTGGCACAACACTCATGTCATCTTCTTACAAGCTTTCAAATTCCAGGGCTCAGACCAAGTTTCAGATTGAGCAACATATAGAGATGGCTGCAAGTGTTTCTGTCCCCGCGATTACTGCCTATCCAAGATAAGCTGCAAGATTTTTTTGGTCAGAATTCAGAAGAAAAGGGTCAGATTGAGAGCTCGATCTGAAGATAATGAAGTTCACTGAAGCAGTTTGTTCTGCTCACTCAATTTTATTTACCATTTGTTAACTGTCTTAATTCTCTTAGCTCGACTTGCGGCTGATCTCCTCACACCTTTTTTTTTTGCTTCAGATCCCGATATTGCTTTGGCTCGTTGGCCAGTCTGTCTCAGGTTCCGGCATCTCTTCCATCTCGTGTGTACCCATGTACCTTATTCTCTGTATGAAATACAATATTGTGATGCCCCGTTTCTTAATCAAATCTTGCTTTTGTCCGCTGGACGTTAGGCTCAACCACTAACTAATTTGACAACATGTCAGTGACAAAATGAATCTCTCCTTTCCACTGTTACCCTCACCACCACCCATGAAATCCTTCGGTCTGAAACATGTCCCAGAATCCAGACTTATTTCTTGGATTGCTTGAAGGCCGCACCATTTTTCAGATTGACTTCCACTGGGTAGACTTCGATATGGTGGTGCATATAAAGTCTTTTCTTCTAGCATGGACCTTATTATGACCTTCCTTGTATGATCAAGGTTTGAATATGATATCCTTATCTTCGAGGGCGTCTCCAGAGCTGCCTTACATGCAAAATAAGCATCGCGGAACTTTGGAATCGTGCAGATGAAAAATATGTGGATCCTCACACATATCGAATAGCAACTGGAAATGTAAGGTAGAATCAGAATAAAATATCTGCCTAGCGCTGGTAGTTGATGAAGGAAAAGAACCCAGGGGAATAATTACAAATGGAGAGGCCTATTAGCTGCATAAAACCCTCTCCTCAACTGCTAGCACCTCTTCATGCTCACCTTTCAGGAGATTCTCTTTCTCAATTGGGCTTTCCCTTTTCTGATCTATGAATTTCCTCAGCACATGGTCTCTTTTGCTTCACCTGGCTGACATGTTGGACAGGTCTTTGGCTTTTTGGTACATTCTCAACCTTCTGTGCCATCCAAGCCACGTCAACGAATACTCGAAAACTGTATGGCCCAAGCATTGTTTGATTGTGCAAGTCCACTACGTTGCTCGTCATTTCCATAAAATCCTGCCAAGTTCGCTGTGTCAGTGACAAAGATATTCGCAGGTTTCATTTCTCACCTTAATTTTCCAGCAATTCTCTCCTGGCTGCACAGTAAAGGGAGTGTAAACCATCTTTGTTGATTGTCGTCCAGCAGGCAAGGTTATATTGTAGATTGGAAGCTGAATGTGTTTGTTCCCAGTATGAATGGGGCTTGACTAATACTAGCCTCCTTGGAGTATTGAATCTTGTCATTTTCCAGAAAATGAATCAGTCTGAAGTTAAACAATATATATAAAATACCACTCACCAACACCCATGCCTTCATCTGATATCTGGGTTAGTGGGTTCAATAGACCATTGGCATGTATGTTCTGTAAAACATCGTCGTCAACATATACATGTTTCCTTCTGTAGCACTTGACCATTTTGAGCATCTACGGCCATCCATGTTAATTCGGAAGGCATGCTCCCCTAATACATAGGGAAGATGCACATCCTTTATGGATTTTTCCCTACCTTTAGCATACAAGACCATGGCATCTTCGAGCTGTTTGCAAACTTCGGGTGTCATCTTCCATTTCTAGCATATTTCTTTTTAAAGAATTGAGGACTTGGAGTGCCTTAGCCTCTTTTCCCTTAATCTCATGGACAGGACCATCAGTTGGGCTCCAAAATAAGTGTCACATCTGTAATTTGCAGCTCATCTTAGCAAATCATAGAAAGGACATCAGCAAGTTAACAATTTACTTTCTGGCTTTTAGCTGCTTTTTAGCTTGCGACCAGCTGAAAAGTGTAAAAGCTGGAAAGCTAATCTACTGAAAATATGACATCCTAGCAGATCTCAAGAAACACTTAGATTACAAAAAAACTACAATACTAATATACCTCAAACCCCCTCCACCACTCAGACCTAAGATTCTCAGCAACAAACGGCCTGAGCTGTCAAGCAGCTGATGGCAGCACCACATGAGTTGAATATTTGATCAATACAGCCAAACACCTCCACATCACATTCTTCTCTTCAACTCTCATCTACCAGCCTTCCCCTCTACCCCGCTTGGTCTGCTGCGTGTACCATGCAGGTGCTGCTGCACTTACTGAAATCCAAGGGGGTGGCAGAACGTGGAAAATGTACCAACACTCCCTATTTTTTTCTCAAGGTATGTTTTCCAACTTCTGATGTTTTATTTGATGTTTTTTTATCCCACAGTCCCAACTTCTTACCTCAGGCCCAACTGAGAACTCACAGATTTTTAAATAACATTTGAAGATGCTCTGCATGCAAGTCTTTGCATTCATTCAGGTGAAACTGTGTAAGCTCAGCCATGGCGCCAGTGTAGAAAGCTGCTTTCTGCTTTTGCCAACAAAAGCCTTGAGCAAACTTCCTTCTCTCTCACAAAGTTTGTTTGGAGTCTAGGAAGGAGAAGAAAAAATGGTTCCCTCGCTCCCCAGAGCCAGGGGGCACCGGGATTAAAAAAAAAAGACCCGGGGTTGATTTTTTTTCCCCTGAACTTTGAGGGGACTAACTAACTATGTAATCAGGCACCGGTCTAGATATAGTAATATGACATCATTTTCTGGCGCGCTTCCCTCCTCGTCCTTGCTCAAAAATCTGAAAAAGATTTTTGTGATCTGTGATAAGATAATTATAGCATAAGCATGATTATGTACAACAGAAACACTATTATTTGGACTCTACAACACTAGTTAGCATAGCTGGGAGTCTGGCTGGGCCACAGTAAGCTGATACGACACTCTATGACGATTTGGAAACTAAGTTGTTGAAGATTCCTTTTTTTTTTTTTTTTTTTTTTTTTTTTTTTGGACTGGACCTTGGACTAACTAACTGGGTACCGGTCCGGCATTCTATTGCCAGTGCCCCCTTGCCCCAGAGTGACAAAGAGGTGATGTATAAGACAAAGTATGACGCACTAGAGTTCGCTCAGACAGAGCAGACTGCTCAGGCTACAAAAATAGGTCAAGCAAGGTCAAGTCACTATTTTTTTTTCAGCCTTCGGCTGGACCCCCCCCCTCCCAGCCAATGTTCGGGATCCACATTCTGCTACCCCCTTGCTGAAATCATAGCATGCAGTCACATCATGTTTCAGACACTTGTCAATGTTGAGGATGGATTGCGACGGGTTCAGGAGGCAATCTGGTGTGTCATTCCATATTCTTGAAATTTCCTCTTATAAATTTCCCTCTGACAGATTCTCTATGCATCTCTCCAAGCTAGGCAGATTTCCATGAAGTTGGGTATACTATGTAGTTCAGTAATTTGCACTTTAGTTGCTAGTTTTGCCTTGATTGCTCTTTTCTGTGACTTTTTCAACTTTTTCATTTGCTTGCCAATAGCTGCTTTTCACAAAATTTGGCCTGGCTTTTTAACTTGCTGCTTTTCTGCCTTTTTCGACTTGTAGCAACTTGCACAAGTCAAAAAAAGTAAAATGTGAAAGTCCTGATGGAGGATAAAGAGATTCTTTACCGATGAGTTTGGGAGGAGTTAAGCGGGCTCTGTTCGGTGTTGAAGATGCATGACGTGGAATGTTTGCATGGCATTGTGGTTGACAAAAATGAACATCCAGTCCAGACGAATATATGCAGCCTGGATGGACACCCGACCGCATTGGCATGCTATGAATCCAGACATACCACATCTGTGTCAATAGATAAAAGAAGCTCCTTTCCACTCATTGCTGAGTACAGAGGCCCTTGGATATGAAGGGAATTCACCAGATTTTAAGGCAAAATTGCCGAGGGCTTGTGTTTCTGATATTCCTGCCCCCTCTTCATCAGCGAAACCTGATTTTTACACGTAGACAGGCATAGTGCTTCCACTGATATCATAGTTTCCCATAGTTACACGCCAAGTTTGGCTAGATGCCCTAGCGCTCCACAGTGCCACACAGCACTGTGTGGGCGTAAGCTTGCGCTATACAGCGCTACAGAGACTTGTGCCATTACTATAGGGTGCTATAGAGGGGCCTCCATTTTCTACCCAGCCCTTATAGGAAGTCAAACTACAAGTATACTAGATTTCAGTAGAAAACACATTCTCTATTGTATATGAATAATTTATGACCAAAATACACCTGGAACAAGAAGAAAGTACAACACTGTCCAGAGATTGATTGACCTACAAGGATTGCAACAAGAAAGAATATGAAGTATCTTTTGCAAAACATATTTGTCAAGTGGTGTTCAAGCCGATTCCAATGCGTCTATTTACGTAGTATTTAGTTCAAAACTCAAATGGCTTTGGACCAATTACTGGTGAAGAATCTGCCTAAAAATGGTAAATGTTATCAGAGGTCACCTCAAACATCGAAATATTAGGGGCTCTCAGACCCGTTCTAAAGCTCTAATTTGTGCGTTACTAACATGCCTAAAATCACATGAAAGGGAGCAGAACTCATGATGATAATATATATTTCAGATGTCTAATACAGGCCAAATAGTTTATGCTACAGTTTGCGAGGTACTCCAAAATTTTTTACACCATAAATTGGATTGCATTCGCATGAATGAAGCGATCAAAATAAGCCCACATAGAGGCCAAATGGTGGAATACTCGTGAAGTTATAGCTATGAGCTACCCTAGAAAGTGTAAGTGTGAATTGATGGAAGTCGGTATGGTTGTGGGAAGTCACGTGCTGTGCTCAACTGACATTTTCAAACTTAGACAACTTCAATTGTTGCTACTACTACCACCACAACAACACTGCCCATTGCAACCACAACACCGGGTTTTCGCAGGCACGGGTATGGGTAACCCTGGGAATACCTGTGACAATCCCTATCCTTAACAAGTGAGTAATGAAGGAAGGACAGCCCATAAGGCAGACTTGAGTGTTAAGCTGATAAGCGAAGGGTCAAGTTGGTGAGAGTGATGGTGGGGAGCGGCAACCCACTGCCAAAATTTCAACTCTGCCATATTTCCCCATCACCAAGAGCCTGATCAAAAAATGGTTGATCATCTTAACTCTTCTTATTTACTTCGACACAATGGTGAATCACCAATTTCAGTATGTGTATTTGTAGATGGAGGATATATGAAGGTGCTCATGTACAATTTAGCTCAAAAACTCAAATATTTTGTTAGTTAGTTTCCTATTTCAAGGCTTGCAGACCCTTTAATAAAAATCTGTTCCCAACAAAACCTTCCCAGACTCCATACTTTTGTGCCTGCAAAAATTTGAAAGAATATCTTGACAGATGGAGCTGCAATCCACAACAGGAGAATGGCATGGTAAACGACGCATTGATGATTACGTGGCTCATAAAAGAAACTAATCAAAGGACAAAAGTGTGACTACTGACATGAGCAACACATTATCAGTGTTACCTCTGCATATTTTCACTTGTTAATCATAGGTCCTTTTGAAATTTCAGTATTTGAGGCTGCACCAGGCTCAAATGTGACATGGGATTTGAAATTGGTGTAATTTCAATGCATCAACAAGGAGGTCCTCATAAAAAGTAAAAAGGGCAACAAAAACCTTAGTTATTGAAAGCTGTTGAGTGTCACCTGCTACAAGTTTCTAGACCTCAAAACTAGGAGGAGCCTGAAGCTCAAATCATCTTGAGCAGTGAATAGTTCCAGAGTCAATGCATCTGACATTGATAGCAATGCAGATATATGGACTTTGGTTACTAATTTTGTTCATAATAGTATACTACATATCATCTTATATAACATAGACTTGTAATTTTCAAAGTTTTTGGCCTGTATGTATTGATTGAAGCCCAATAACAGTCATTGACCATTAAATTTGAGTGTTTAGCATGAGCCAAACAGAAGCAAATAGCACGATTTTGTTGGCACGGTTGCTACTCCCCAGTGATGACAAAAAGCCAGATTTTTGCCATCATTTCCATGCTGTAATACCTACCCTAAACCACCATGTGACTTGTTTACTTTCTGAAATTGGAAAATTTAAGTTGCACCATTCTTTCTTTCCTTGACCATCACCACTGCCTTTCCCCACATTGCCTTCACCTGTTCCAACTACTAAAACCTCAAGAAATAAGGCAAGTAATTGCCCACCTCTCAGTGCTGACTCAGATGTATGAAGCTCTTCTACTTAGGTACATTATCTGTCTTGGTGGCACCCTCTCACTGTTGTGTGCCCTTCCCCTAGTTGAGGGATGTGGGCCAACTCATGAAGGATTTGGGTTGGAATCAAAGGCTCAGGATGCATGAGGGGAGGCTCTAACCTAGGTAGTGTTTAAAGGTCCTGTCCATAGGACTGAAAAAAACCAGTGGACTGAACTGAACCAGACCATGGACCAGTCTTTCTTTCCGTTGCAGTTGCCCAAATTTGGGGTTGGTCCAGTTGCCTGTTGCCTCATTTCAAAAATCTTTTAAAACCATTCAAAGACTGATTTAAAGCAGTTGCAACCAGTTAAATGGTCATGTGCATTACATAGCCTTGTAACCATGTTTATTACCTTTAATTGGGTTTTTGGTTCATGAAAAACGGTTAAGAACTGAGAAAGATATAACCAAATCCATTTTGGCACAAATACATGTTTGTGCAACTTTTACCAGAATGACTTTGATTCTAATTCACTCAAACTTTCATCAATTTGCTTGATTCAATTTTTGGATATTGAAATTTTAAGTATGAAAATATACTCACCGTCTATCAATATATGGTATGCATCAAATAATTTACAGTTGCCACATTACATTTTACCTGAGTCTTTAGGAGATGTGATTCAGTTTCAGTCATAGCTATGTCAAACCTTCATTAAATTTCTTAAGAATTGGTGAAATGATGGGTATTTATATGTTTTACTATGATATATAACCAGTTTATTCTTTAGAGTAACAGTAATTGAGATACAAATGGTTTATATTGGTATGACAAATTTTATGCAAAAAAATGGGTCTGAATCGGTTTGAATGCAGTCCATGGACCACAAAAGACCAGTCCTAGGTGGTCCGGTTTGGTTCCCTCAATATCTGGGTTGGTCCTAGGCTGGTTGCAGTCTGCAGTTGCCTGTTTTCAGGGCAAAAAACTGGACTGAACTGGACCTGCGAACACTAAACCTTGGGGACCCACCTGGTACATAGCAAGTTGAGTTGCACAACTTGATTTGTTTCCACTGTCCTTTCATCCACCATCCACTCAATGCACCCAACTGCACAGGCTTGCTATCTGTCATCACCTTCCTTGTAACCCATGTTTTGGGGCACCCAGGATGCCAACGTGGCCTTGCCCTCCCTTCCAACAAGGATGGACATTGAGATTGCATGTGCACTCAGCATGTGTGGTATGTGTATTTGCTTCTCACACATACAGTGCCAGGTTCATCATTTGAGTACAGATGGAATGTTCTCAGCGCCAGGTACATATACCACATTGAAGTCAAACACCTCTTCAGCCCAATCCACACTAACTGCTTGCTTCACCATTATTGTTTTGCTCTCATTTTCTCACTATCATTATATTAGACTCTCACAGCAGTACTATGTAGAATGTTAGGATATCTTGTATAATGTAGTAGTGTAGATAATAAACTTATTTTTTCATAACACAAGTTCTGTGTAAAAATCATGCAATATCATATTAAAATGAGCAGAATGTATGCCCCCCTCTAGGAATCTGCAGACCCTAGGGGTTGCTACTGAGGGCTGCAGATCTGCTCTGTAATTCTAGGGAGCACTATGAAGTGGTTGTGTGTTTCTATGAATGGCTGCAGATCTGCTCTGAGATTCTAGGGAGTGCTGTGTAGTGGCTGTGCATTTCTATGTAGAGTTGCATAGAACATGCAGGTGACTGTAAAGGTGATACCCATTTCTATGGTGCTATGCCACTACACAGCCCTGCCACATGCTGCCTAGCTCACCCAGGTTTTGCTGAAGTTGAGTTGAGTTGTTCAGTGAATGCAATACAGGTTTACTCACTGTTGGCTCCAAAGCTATCACATCAAACTCTGGTCTGTCGTAGAGATCATCTGGCCTGGGTTTGTTGCATACCCTGCATATCTGAGGGAGCTCAACTTTTTTTGCTTCCAATTACTTTTCTTCAGTTTTTTTTAAGAGGGCTTTTTACAACAACCTGGATGCTAGGCTTCCCATTGACGTTCTGCAAGTAGTGGTGATTGTTTGCCATTTGATGAAGAACAACATTCAGCCACTGACCATCCTCTCAGGCCCAACATTCTGGATGAAGAACAAACCGGCCTGGGAGCGTTGAAGCAAAAATAATGGTCAACTCTTGTTCTTAGACACTGTCGGAGGCTTCAACACACATTTAACTCTGAGTCAACTTGATTCCCGCTGTTTTGTTGTCTACCTCAGTTGGCAAGGTAGATGAGATCATTGGGACAGCTGCAGTGTTGGAGGCATGATGATATTAGAGTTAGTTGCAGTGAGAGGGATGCCTTACAAGCCAGTCACCTGCCCTGCCTTGCACCGCCTGGCTTGAAAATGTCCCCAACACCTCCTCATCCTTGCCTCCTATCAAGACCAAATGCCTTAGCTCAACCAGCCCACCTTTTTAATATGCCCCTCAGTCTAAACTCAATTGGATTCATATGGCAGCATCACTCTTTGTTTTTGCTCTGATCTTTCATTAGATTGTCCCCATGCTGCTTGAAGAAGCTTGGCCTGACTAGGAGCTCCATGCCTCATTTCACAGCCTGACTCAGGAGTGAACCAGTGTTCTAATGCAGTTATAATGCAGGCCAGTTGTAACCAAAATAAAAATAGCCACTGTCAAGTTGTGACAGATCTGACAGTTGATCTAACACCTCTTGCTGTGATTATTGCGACCTGAACTATGACGCTGCAACGATGACTCTTGTTTTCTTCTTTGCCATTTATCACTCTCCTCGTCTTCGGCCTCCTATCTACATTTTCATCATTTTCATCTCTTTCTGACTGTCTCGATGGAAAATCTTCAATCTTCCACCCACTCTCATTTACGATTGCTCTGACCTTTTTTGAGGTTTGTCCCCATCAGATTGCATTCTGTCCTTGCTTCTCACCTCCAATTGTAGAATGGACAACTGGAGAGCAGCTGTGCTGGGTGATGGCAGTGTGGGAAAAACTGGGGAAAAACAGTGCTAGCTGTCCAGGTGCACCCACCCCTTGTCATAAACACAATTGAACTTGCAGATTAACACTTTTTCACCTAGTTTACCCTCAACTGTTTCGTCGGTAAGCTTTTAACCTCTCATTTCTATTGTACAATGATCAACCAAGTATTGTCTTTCATCAGAGGTACCCCTCTCACTTACCATTCTCCAATACTCTCTAACAGCTCTGTAGACATATGATCCCACGATTGAAGACACGTACCAGAAGCAGTTGGTGGTAGACAATAGGATGTGTTTTGTAGAGGTCATTGACACTGCTAGACAGGGTGCATGTTTTTTCTGCCCCTGATACTTCTCATTACTCACGAAACACCAGAGGAATATGCTACGTTGTGTGATCAGTGGGTCAGGTGAGTCATATTGGTACGCCTCATTATCCTAGCTTATGGGTGTTTAGAGAGGGCCAAGGCTTCATCTCACTCTGTCACCTCTCAGTCGACATTCAATCTGCTTGAGGTTGTCTGCCAGTCCATGTGCCAAGTCAAGTGGGGTGAACCAACCTTCATGCTTGTGGGCAACAAGTGTGACAAGACCCACAAGTGAGAGGTGTCAAAGGAGGAATAGTGTTTAAAAGTCCAGTCTGGTCCAGTTTTTTTATGCCCCTGGGCTTTAACCATAACCATAACCAATCCGCATTTTTCCCAGAAGTCAAAAGACTGAACCAGACCCCAAAAAACTGCAGTCTGTGGTCTTTTTGCAGTCTATAAACCAGTCTTGGTCTTCTTCGGTTTTAACCAGTTTAAGACCGGTTTTCTGGCCAATATTTTATAGTTATGAATCAGTAAATTTGTTAATGTGCTTCGTGGCTTTAAAAAGAGCCCAAGAACGTTAAATTCCGTTAAGAATTGGTGTTTCTATAAAAAAGCCCTTGTACATCTACTATTTTTTAATGAAATTTTACATTTTTATTTATATCTTTGTCAATTCTGAACTAATTAATATGTGCTTGGGTGCATTTTGAAGGGTATTTAGTGGGCTACAAAAAACCGGTTCTAACCAGTTAAGACCGGTCCATTTAGACCGGTTTTTTTGCGGTCTTAGTTCTCAAAAATAAAAAAACCAGACCTGCAGTCTGGTTTTTTGCTGTCTTGGTCTGGTTTGGTTATGGTCTTTTTCCAGTCATGAGACCAGACTTCCAAACACTAAGGAGGAAGGTGCCACTATGGTGGAGCAATTTGGCTGTGACTTCATCAAGACCTCAGCCAAGGCAGCGCAGAACATAGAGCACCTTTTCATGAACCTTGTTCATGCACTACAGCAACCTGGGGGCTCAGTGCCCACCAAAACAAACGAGAGGAAGCAGGGCAAGTGTATCATCATGTAGGGGACTTTTTTCTGGGAATTATGGGCTTTAGACACCTTTACATTGTTTTACCCTTTTCCATGATACCATTATGGCCTCTTTTCTGTTTCGTTTTGATGAGTATACTATTCCTTTTGTCCCCTCTGACCTAATGGCCACACCATCTACAGATCCTTTACACCCATAAGTAACAGCACTTGCAATGAGTATTACTCCATGTCGACAGGCTGCTCCTCATAATTATACAGAAAGGTGATCAGTATCATCGACAACCTATCATGCCTTTCCATTGAGAAAATGCTATCTTTATTATTCTGTTGCTGCCCCCTCTAGTTATAGAATAATGTGAGTAGGTTGAGGAATCTGAATCCACCTCAAAATGCAGATTGGTAAATGGGAACCCCATTTATTACTCTGTCACTGGCCCATCCTGTGTTAGAGTAACATAAGAAGGGTTACTTTGAGCTCATAAAATGGTCCAATCCCTGTGAACGACGACAGCATCCCAAATGGACAAGTTATATGAGAAATTCATCAATTATTTGAACATAGTGTTCAAAAGTCTGGTTAGGTTATGTTATTGGGTGCCCAGGGGCTCTAACTGAGACCAAGACTGGTTAGCAACCCCAAAATAACCTGACTGGACTGAAAATAACTGACCAAAACTGGTTAGTTGCGTTACTAACCAGTTAGGACCAAAAAAACAAAGGATTGTTTAAATTTGGGTGGAACTGTTCATATATGTCTCAGTAAATGTTATTGTGGTATATATTAGCTTTAAAACGAACCCAAGAACAGTTAATTTGGTGAGGAATTGACATATTTATGAAAATATTCTTGAAAGTCTACTATTTTGGCTGATATTTTCAATATTTGACAATAACTCAGTCAAATTTTGAGCATTTTTCATGTTCTTAGGTACATTTTGAAGGGGTGTATCAGGGCTGGTTACAACCAGTCATAACCAGTTTTTTAGCATTAGTTAACTGCAAAATAACCAGTTCTTCTATTTTCAAAATGGACTAACCCTAACTGCAGTTAGGTTAATTTTGTGGTTAGGTCTGGTCCAGTCTCAGTTATTTTCCAGTTAATTGAGGGCATGTCAGCATTGGAAAGTATGGCGATCATGTATGGCGATCTGTGTGGCGATCTGTATGGCCGGAAACGTGACATTAGACACGTGATGTTCAAATATTAGTTCTGTGTCACGTCGCGTCACCTTGCGCACTTCACCATGCTTCTAATTGACCTAGTTGAGCAGCTCAAAGGTCATGCAGTGCTTCAAGAGATCTCCCTCAGTGCCCTTACGACATTCGCGCGACTTACATCTCATCTTAAGCGCGATGTTCTCCAGCCACAAAGCATCTGTCAAAGTGACCCTGAACACGCACCTGATAAGCTTCCCGCCAGCATCTCTAGTTTCCTCAGCGACGCACCGCGAATTCCCGAACAACACATCCATGACTACTGGAGTCTTCTCAAGGACTATATCTGGAACATGCCTACTACAGCACTTTCTAGTGAGGACTATACGCTGTTCAAAGAGCATGGATGGGTTTATGGCATTAGTAATGTGATTTGTTTGGATTGATCTAGATGGTGCTTGACCAGAATCTTGCAGTGGCGCTGACTCTATACCCGCCTAATATTGTATGCACCAACCCTGACTGCGCAAATATTGTTCCCTTGAAGAAAGAGGAGCAACGCAAAGCAGTCGTTTATACTTTATCAAATGGTGTCCAACTCGCATGGAATGTACATGTATATTGTCCAAGTATGTGTGAGGTTCTTGTTGCAAGTATTCACTGAAAAACATGTTGCGCAGAGTGCCAAACAAATTATCACAACAATTTCAGTGTCCAGGATGGTGTCCGAACCTACTACATGGGTATACCAAGCTATATATTGGTAGGTGAGCATCAGTATGTGGAAGTGAAGGTAGTGAGAATGTGGATTGCGCAAATGCTTCTCGGATGGTATGTGTTTTCCGCATCTATCTATTTACATTCTCAAGTACTCAAGGTTTTCGGCTACCAATGCTGCTCGGCTTTATGATCTGGCCCTGTCAGAGAATCTCACGTACCTTGATGGATGGTCACTTGGCGGCCAGCTTACAACAAAGCACATATGGGATGGTTTTAGTTTAGTGTCTTTGCTTGACGACCATCAAACACAAGGAACACTCCTTCGTGTACCTCACACAGGCTCTCAGAGTGACCGCTTCAAGGCTGCAATGGAGGAAAGAAATAAGCAGATTATTATGGAAGGGCAGCCTGATGCTGTTCGTCATACCTGCAAAAAATGCATGCGCATTTACAAAATGGAGGATGGGGAATTCAGTAAGATTGCACAACTAATCAGGGTTAACAGAATTAATCAATCAACAGGGAAAGTTCAGGCCATTGTTGCGGATGGCATCAGTATTGGCCGCCCCTGCTGTGGAATCTTTCAATGCACTGAGCCACTTCAAAACAACCAACACCGATTTTGTGCCACACATTTCGGCCATCGTAATATTTGCGCTATTGATGGCTGTGAGCTTCCGGTTGAACTTATACCAAAGAAGTTGAGGACGTGTGCAGACCCTATTCACCAAGAGATTGAGAGAAAGAAGAAGGCGCGTGGAAATGCTGCATTTGTTCTGAAGGACTGTTGGAAAAATGCCCAAGTGCTTTATGGTGAAGAAACTCCAGTTGCTGTGACTGGGGAGCACATAGATGTTGAGGATGAAGTTGAATGGTTTGAGGTAAATGGCACAGCGGTTGAAATCTTTAACGAGCAGAACCCTGGATTGGTCGGCGTCGTTGAGGATCTTGATCCTTGCTCAAAAAAATCATTGGACGGCAACCGCAAACTCAAAACGCAGCTCTCGAGAAGGAGAACACACAATGAAGAGACCCTTGTGCGACCCTGTGGCATAATATTTGCGCGCGCAACCATGTTTGGAGCAGAAGCCGTGTCAAATTTTCTGGTGCGTGTTAGCTATACTCCTTAGCTTATTGAGCTCTTAAAGTTATGTAGATAATGCTCAAGAACACATTTTCCATCCCAGGAGCAAGCAAGCCTGAACACATATTTTACGATACAAATTGTGATGCGAAACAACAGGCAGACGCATCAGGCGATCCATGGTTTCAAGACGTGGGCATGTGCGTCGACGTCTGGCATTTCCTGAACAAACACAAGGTGACGCATGAGTTCTGCCAACTAAATTGCAACCCAGCGATGTACCCTGAGCTACAGGATGATGACGGGAACTGGTTTTTCAACATGTCAGTTGCAGAGCAGACAAATGCATGGCTTGGCGGATACAGCTCAATCATCAGAGAGATGCTCCCTGACAAGTATGATTTTTTCCTTGACGAAATGATCAGGCTCCATAATGCCGAAGTGCTCCAGAGGTTGGAGAAGGAGGGACACTGCCCTCATATTTTGTAATCATGGTGTTGTTCTATTACACGTTTCACTATTACATGTTTCTTCATTACACAACAGAGTCCAAGACAAGTGGAAGTAAGTAAGGTGTCGCTAAAGGCAGGAGGGATACGGAAAGAAGTTAAGATATGTAGCGCAATAGAATCTAAAGTACAATTACTGTCTGAGAGGATACTGGTGCACAAACACTGACCAGCGGCCAGCAGGCATATGTCCACCGGCTACAGCCTCCTCACGGTGATCCTCAGAGGCGGCCTTCCATCGGGTGCGTGCGTTGTAGTATGTTGCAAGCTTAACCTTACGGCCAAACACATGCTGGAGCCGCTCTTCCAGCGTACCGAAGCGCTTTCTCATCTCCCGACTATCGATCTTATCAAACGCGTCTTGCATGTCAACGACATAGCAATTGCCAGGCCAATTTGAAGTTGACTTATGTGAGGATGTCAAGATGGGGGAAGGAATTGAGGAGGGGTTTGATGGTACTGGTGGAGAGGAGGGGCTTGTGAGAGCAAAGGATGATGATGATGAGGGTCCTTGGGACACAGAGGATGTCCAGAGGGATGAGGGGGATGTGGATGACGTTATGGGAGAATCAGGAATTGTGACGACGGGAATCATGAGGGGAGTGAGACTAGGGAGGTGTCGCTTTCATGCCGAAGCCTTGGGGATGTTGTAGACGTCAAGCACTTCGGTTCCAAGCTTCTCCAGGGTCTTTGGGCATTGTGCTAACGTCCATGTTGGCCACCCCTGTAAAACTTGCACTGATAGAACCTCAGGTGGTGCACCATCCTACAAGGAGCATTAAAAGGGATGTGGGTGATGGACATGTCATTAATGACTGCTTACCTGTCGCCAGAACATGATAAAAAATTTGTGGAGCAGTGCCACATCACCCTGCACTCGCCCTTGCTTCTTCAACGATTGTGACGTCTTGTCTTCGTAACCCCGCATCCATTCAGAACGAAGATGGGTTGTGTGCTTTGGAGCCTTGGCGCTAGCGCTGGGGGGTGGTGCTGAGGGTGTAAAATGAACCAGGGACAATGGGCCAGAACGTGAGGAGGCAACACGTGAGGAAGAGGCAACATGTGAGGAGGCGATACGCGAGGAGGAGGCAAAGTGCAAGGAGGTAACACGTGAGGTGGAGGCAAAGTCTGAAGGAGAGGAATGAGTGTCGTTGTGTGGTGGAGAGTGACTGAGAGAAGCCGCAAGGGCTGCCTGATAATCAGGCTCTTCCTTGGCTTCGTCCGCAAGCTCCTGTGCACAAGCAAGTTCGGACTCCCGTGTTGAAGCCTCCACAGAACACATAAACTGGACAGTGGGGTCCATGTTCGCAATCGCAATCTGGAGCTCCTCCCCAGGAGAAATCGATCATGTGGGAGGGGGATGGTGAACTGAGGAGGAAGACGTGGCTGCGGACACCTGTGGTTGTTTCCCTTTCCGCTTATTGGCAACCACCGTAGCGACCGTGTGGATACCGCAACCTGTGCACGCGACGCAGCATTTCTTGCACATGAGCTGGATGCAGACCGAGTTTGCAACCCTGTGGCATTTGCTTTCACTGCACTTGGACGAGGCCTTGACTGACGAGGTGGTTGTAGAGGAATGAGAGGTGGGTGCTGAAACGGCATTGGGCGCAACGCCTGGCATAAAGGTGTAGTGGTAGTGGTGGGTATGGCACTGGAACAAAAGAGAATAAGATTGTGCAAAGGAAGTGTCCTTGTCAACTTACCCGTATGTAATACTGGCCAGGGAAATTACCACCTGCCGCAAGCTTGACTTTGAGAGCACAATGACACGCGGGACAGGAATTTGGGCCGTTGATGTTGGGAATGACAAGATTCATGGTGGTGGAAGGAGTGTGAAACAGTTCGTGAAGATATAGATGACTATATGCGCATTAACGGAGGGGTATGTAAGGTATCAACATGGGGGAAGAGGGAGACGCAGGAGGAATGCGTAGCACACCGGTGTTTAGACCGATGTAGCCGCCAAACATTCCGCCACACATTTCGCCACATACACCGCCAAACATTCCAATTCTGACATTTTTTGAGTTAATTAACCTAACTTCCAAACACTAATTGAACAGGACCAGCCAATCCCATTGATTCCAAGTAAATCATTCTGTTCTTTACTTATGCCAGTCATCCAACTCTCTCATCTGTAGGATGTTTGGGTATGAATAACACTTCTTCTACAGTGCCTGCTTTCATCCAACATATCTTGACTTCAGATAGCACTTTACATGTTTTCTCTTATTTGACATGTCTGGAACAAAATAATGCCTAATTGGGCATTATTTAACACCTGTCTGGGAAAATCAAAAATTAACTCCCAATTGGGATTGGAGGATATACAAGACAGGACACATACACACATACCATTAACAACACACTCCCAATTTGGGCAGCCAGAGTTTCAATCCCCCTAACTGTCAACCTAACCTTCTAATCTAACTGAGAATGTGCTACTGCGCTGGGAGAATATATCTCTAAACCTAAACCATTAACCCTAACCTCCTAACCTCCTAACCTTACTGAGAACATGCTACTGCACAGGGAGACTGAAGTAAGAGCATGCTACCACACAAAAAGACACTAACCCTAACCAAACCCTAACACTAACAGCAGCTATTCAGCATGTACTTCAGAGTGTCAAAAATATCCAATTTGATGGGAGATCAGCAACACATCATCATGTGCCTGGGTGTGTTGGGTGTCTCTTCTTGTCTGTCCTGTGGGATTGCCATCAAAATTATCACCCAAATAGGCAGGCGGCCTCTAACACATACAACCTTTCCACTCTTCCACAGAACCACAGTTTGTGCCACCAACTCAGAAAAAAAAAGTATTCTATGTTTAAATCTACTTGTGTGGCCAGTATAATTTGATAAGCAAGATGTTTGAAATCACTGTAATGTAGTTAACACCCAATCAGGCAGCTATTGAAGCATTTCATGACTTTTCTCCTTGTGCTATGTGCTGCAGGCCAGAAAAATATTTGAATAGCCCACTTTATTTGTAAAAAGTTGTATGATGCACTAGTTTGAACCCAGAATGCATTTTTGAACTATTGGAGAAAACAAATTCTATTGTTCTGAGCATATAAAGTCAGTTCTACTTGACACAATTGGTTATCAAAGTATGAGTCCATGCTAATAAAATATCTCAGAGCATGTGGAAGCAATTTCCATGTACTTCTCTCTCCTGGTAACATGTTGGCATGCTTCAGGCAACAAAAAAAAATGATCAATGGGTGAAAGAAAAATTGTTAAACTGCTCTAAAATGTTGATACATGAGCTGCTGTTATGTTATCAATATTCCTTAACATTGTAAGTAGTTGTAAATGAAATATCACCTTTTAGGATGATTATTCAAAAAAAATGATTCAAAGATAAATTATAGTGAACAATTTATGGGATCCCCCCTTCCCCTGTACAGCCTAATTTTTGATAAATTTGATAAATCTAAAGCTGTTCCAGACATGGCTCCAGAGCCTATCTTGATGCTACAATCTCAAATGCCTATCTGAGGCCAACCAATATCATTGCCATGTACTTCACAAGATTAGTTGAACTCATGACCTGACACACCATGTAATGCGAAGCAGGGGACAAACACTGAATAATTGGTTAAGAAAAAAAAAAAGTTTGCTACTGCTGGTAGGGAGGAAAATAATTCCTGCCATGCATCCTGTTTCGGTCTGGGGTGTTGAATGCTGAAAGCAACCTCATAAACTGCTACCTCAAACTCTTGATCTCCCTAGCCTCAAGCCGGGATCGAATGGACATGTCACAGGGGATGGTAATCTACAGCATCTGAATCACATTAAAGAAATTGGCAGCTTATGAGCTTTGGACTCTCCCTGTCCTGATGATCACTTTACAGCCATTTGCAAAAATAATGGCAGTCACGCAAAAATAGAATGGAATGACAGAATAGTTTAACTTAGAAAAATTTGACAGTTGATTGTGTTACTCAGTCACATCTTGCATCTTGACTTATGGGCTATCACAAAATATCTGCTGACCTCTAACTGGCCACAATCAAACTCTATGAACAACATTTGCTGGATCTCAATGATATATTAGACTGCATAGGATTCTTGGAAAGAATCTTCTGGTGTATATAGGGACTGTCATGGATACATCCGGGTATTATCCGTACCCGATCTGTGGATTTTCCCACCCACGGATTGGATAAGCCACGGTACGGATATATCCGTGGGTATAGCGGCACAGACCAGCCCTCCATCTATCTTTGTCAGTTCTTTGCTGTTCTCCATGAAAAAATATGCGTTAGAAAGCTGTCGTTTAGGAGAATTTTGTTATAATAAAATTCACTGTAATATCTTACGTGAACTTCAGTAGAAGCTCATTCTTTAATAATGGTGGAGAATGAAAGGATCAAGCCTCAGTTCATAAAAATATCACTGGCATCTTCATAAAAAGCAAACATCATAATTGGATATGAAGTAAGTCTTCAAAATTGGGAAAAGTCAACTATAAAAGTTCTAAATTGTATTTTATAGCTGTTATTAGTGAAATTCATACTTTGTCAAACTTCTCCCATCCTCAAATTCTGTGAAAACACCCCAAATTCTTTGGAAGCAAGCATTTTTAAATTTATTTTCACTATTAATCCAATTTCACTCCTTTTTATCACTCTTTATGCATACTATTAAGGATTGGATGCCAGATAAGCATCAAATACCAGTCAAGCTACTTACCCCAGTGTCATACATGGCTTGGAAGGTTCAATAAGTATAAGTAATTTATATCTTTGTTTTTGAAATATCACTTCAGGATTTTTTGGTGCAAACTGAGTCACAGATGTGTATGGTATATCTCTATCACTGATCTGTCATATACACATTGTCTTTCTGGGCTGTTTCTGGCCTCTTAAATATTTATTCATGACCAAATTGATCTCTGTATAGCATTGAAGTCAAAGGTGTAACATAGTCCAATCCATGAATGCTTGAATAGTGTGGAATGATAAAATCAGAGTTAAATTTAAAAGAATGACTGAAGAAATAATTGTATTTCAATAAATTTATGTTCAAATTCATCAAAGAGTGTTTTTATCTTAAAAAGGAGTGAAATTGATGAGTTCCACAGGCCGACAAAGGACAGTCGTGCATTGGTGTGTGGCAGTGGTAGCTCCCACTAAGGCTGCCCAAATATTATGGAACTTCCTTTGAAACCTCCAAAAGATTTTGTGTGAATTGGAATAGAACTGACTGAGTTACAGATGGATGATTCTTGAGCGCCTCGAAATGGTGTATTTCCTATTATGGGCAGTGATCCTGAAACATAATGAACCGAACAGAGCCAATACAAATTTGTATTAGTTCAACGTGGCCGAGTACCCGATAGGCTGGCCAGCTCTCGAGTCTCAACGGTAAAATATTCATAGAGAAATAATAAGACACTCAAAAATTCCCAAATTTTGCGTAGGTGTTTTTGATATCCAAGAAAGCGCATTCTCAAAATTTCAGGCATTTCTACACAGTTATACACTGGTAATGAATAAAACGGTCTTAGGTGACCGAGTACCTGATTATGTACAGTATGACGGAACGGAATTCCTGACGCCCAAATCAAGCGTCGGCAAATCCGACGCTTGATTTGGGCGTCATCAACAAACAAACCACTCTTTCCTCTCAACCACCACCTTCGTCCACGACGCCCACCCATCGCCACGTCACCACGATCACCCGTTGTCACCACCACCCACGACGCTCGTCAATCCGCAACCCCGACCACCTCGATGCGTCAAGAACAACGCAAGAGCGCCACGTCACCAGCAAACGATGCCACGTCGCTATCAGCGACGTGGCATCGTTCGTCGTCATCCAAAGGTAAGTGCCCCCCCTCCTCCATCCCATCCCACCCCACTAATGACTACGAAAATGCGACACAACGACAACAGGACATGACGGCGACACGCCACGACACGACGACGACAATGCGACACCACGAGAACACCACACGACGACAACACCACACGACGGCGACGCGACACGATGATGGCAACGCGACACGACGACGACGCGCGCCCACGTTGTCGGACGACGAAAACACGACACCACGACAACGCGACACGACGGCGACGCAACACGACAACAACAACGCAACACGACAACGACAACGCAACACGACGACGGCGACGCGACACGACGACGACGCGTGCCCACGTCGTCGAGCGCCCACGTCATCGAGCCTTCCTTCCCTCCCTTTTCCCCCCTTCCCTGTCCCCCCTTTCTCTTCCCCTTCCTTGTCCATCTTCCCTCCCCTTTCTCTCCCCCTTCTCTATCCCTTCCTTATGTGTACCTTTCTGTACCCATCTTTCCCCCCTCCCTTCCATCCCCCCTCCCCCCTTCCCTATGCCTCCCTATTCCTCATACTTCTCTTTGTCCATCCCCCTTCCCTACTGTAATAAAATAGATTTTATGTATCAATAAAATGCATTGAAAATTTGTTCTATTGAGATCTTATGGCTTGAGTAGGTGTGAATTTGTAGTAAAATAGATTAAAATTTGTCTACTGAGGTCTATGACTTGACTAGGTGTGAATTGTATAGGAAATTTTGTCTGTTGAGGAATTGAATTAGTGCAGATTAAGTCTCTAGCTCAGTGCTGATCTATTCTGATTTATAACCTAAATAATGAGATTTTCTGCCTATTCCACTTGGATTCCTGCATATTCCAGTTGGATTCCTTCAGAATTCCTGGAATCCTCTGGAATCCGTTGATACGCGTTGCACGGGGATGACCGTGAAAGTGCGAAACACGCAAACAAGGATCAAGCGCGTCGGGAAAACCCTAAACACCTTAACACTCACTCACACACACACACACACACTATCACAATCTCAGTGCACGAGTTCGAGGGCCTTTGGTATTAAGAAATACCACTTTTGTCTTCTTAGGTTTAAGTCTCAAGAGTTTTCGTCTCAAAACGGGGTTTTATTATTGGGTGTGGTATTAGAATAGTTCAATAGAACAAAGTATGTCTTTCAGGGAACCTGGTTGCTCAAATGTAAAGTTCTTGAACACAGTTTTCTTTATTGACACGAAACATGGATTTATTGGACTTTTATAACTCCCTTGAGCTTTTTATTATGTCACTACACTCCAAAACTGGTGATATGAGTACGCTGTCTCATCTAAATGATACTGTGCTTAAAACCTCTTATTCAAGTCTCCAAGTAAGTTGACTCCCAAGCACACTGGCTTCGTTCACACTGTACTTTTCTGACCACGAAGAAATCTCCTTTAATTGATTACAACTGTCCACCTCCTAAGTCTCTACTTGGAGTGCAACTAGCTGGTCAATGGGGGACGATTGCTTCCTTTTGACCTGCCAGTGCGCTCCTTATATACTCCAAAAACCCCTATCTACGCTTTTACATGTGTTTTCTACAGTTATGTATCAGTCCGAAATACAAATAGCTTTTTAATGATCGTGTGGTATAGTTTATAGTGTCTCTCTTGTGGTACACTTCAGTTTTTGTAGTGTTGGTATCTTTTCTTTGTCAATCACATCAGTGTTTGATGTGTATGCAGAACAATCCGGTTTTAATTATATCTAGTCCAGACCGGTTCCACATGCTTCTTTATCATGGGCTCAGCTACTAATTTTGGGGAGCGGCAACCGCGCCAATGAAATCGTGCTGTTTGTTTCTGTTTATCTCACGCCAAACAGTCAAATTCAATGGTCGACGATTATTATCGGGCTTCAATCAATACGTAGGGACTGAAAACATTGTAAACTACAAGCCTATGTTGTTTAATATGATATATAGTATACTATTATGATTAAATTTAGTAGCCAAGTTCCATATCTGCGTCACTATCAATGTCGGATGTGTTCTCCTCTGGAATGTAGCTTTCCCATTCACTGCTCAGGTCGAGTTGAGCTTCAAGCTCTTGCTGGTTTTGAGCTCTAGACATTCGTACTAGGTGGCGCTCGATGGCTTTTAATAAAGCCTCTTTTTTGAGGTTTTTGTTGCCCAGTTTGCCTTTCACGAGGACCTCCTTGTCGATGCGTCGAAACCACGCCAATTCTAAGTCCAGCGTCGCATTTGACCCCGGTGAAGCCTCAACAGCTGACACGTCGAGGCGAACAGTCACCTTATCAAGTTCCGCATTGACCTTGGCTTTGGCTGCACTCCTCGCGCTGTCCTTCTCGCGTTTAGCTTCTACCATATCACGATCAGCCTTGGCCTGCCTTAACCTCCGGGTTTTTTCGAGCTGGCTACTGTCCCTCTCGCATGCCTTTCTCCGGAGATACTTGAGGTCTGCATGCGTCAAAATTCGGCGGACATAACGCTTTGTCTGATTTTTCTTGTGCATCTCGCGTGTGTTCCGTTGGTGATTCGACATATTTGGTGCTCGACGTGATCCAACACGGAGAACACCTAGAGCCCCTTCGTTGTCATCGTTAGTTGTTTTTATCCATGCACGCTCGTGTTCCTCTGGTGAAGCTAAATCAATTGCACCACCAGGCTCAAACTCCGTGGTAAAACGCTTCCAGCCCTCCAATGCACCTGTAAAAAATGCAACCAAAGCGCCCCGGAGATGAGGTAGTGTATCCATCATCGCATGCACTGTGTAGACAGCTTCTGGGCGTTCCCAAACTTTACCGTCTAGTGCTCCTGTTGCGCTTGTAGCACCAGGGGAAAGAAGGAGGTCAGGATTAGAAATAATTGCGTGGCAATGTTCTTTCACCCGAGTGTGGAGAGGTCCAAGGTCCAAGACATTGGTAAATTGCTTTCCAGGACCGCGCACCTGCCGCAAGTAAGGATGGCTGATGGCTTGGCTGTACAGAGACAGTACGGCGAGTTCTGTTAGGGTTGGAATGTCGTGGAGTCCCAGGTATACATTATTCTCCATATGATTTAAATTTCTTTTTTCTTTCTTGTCTCGAACCTGGGAACAACAGGTCAATGCCTGGGTAAGCACTCAATGGATTAACGAAAGTCTCTGACCTGGTCAAGAAATTTAATATACAGGGATCTATGAACAAGGAGCTCACAGGCTGCCCTGCAGTGCGATTGATAGCGCGTGTTGCTCGTGTCCGGAAAAGATATCATATACCCGATCTCCTGTTCAAAAAACATCCGGAACGTATCGCCCTGTCCCTTTTTATCGTCCTTATGGTTGAATATTGCTCCTGCCAGAGACGTGAGCTTTGTTCCCCCACCCTGCGATACGGCTTCTGCATTTTCTTTGGCAGTAGCTGACCCTGAACCTGCTGCTCGTGCATTGTCCTTGTTCATCAGCTTCATAGGTGGTGTAAGGTTTTCTTCCTTCCAGAATGCACCCATCGACGTATCGCCGATTTTAATTGCATTGAGTTCCTTGTGCATGCAGCACCCCGCCCAAATGAACAAATTGGCGGCATGCTGCTGAGCAGCGCTCATCGCATTAAAAGATTTCTCACCAACGTGGGAGCAAACCCGTTCATACATTGCCTTGTTTTGGACGTCTTGTTCCTGTGGAGATAATGCGTCGAATGCGTCAAGTCCTCCCACAGCCGAAACCTTTTTCTGGTTCTCTTCCACGACTACCTTGAGCAGCGCCTCCACAGTCCACGTATTCGCTTCCCTCTCCCCTCTAACAATCCGCTCGCTCTCAACCTTCCACTGGCGTAATCCTCGCGCAACCTTCTTTTGATCTGGTGCGTGGTCTGTTCCATTCCCTGTGAATTTTGCGGGTATCGCGCGAGGGTTCACTGGATTGATCTTCCCCCGCGGACTGTCACTATAAGTCTCGTTAAAGGTTGAGTTTGTTTCTTTCCAGCCCATAATCTGGGTTTCTGCTGTGTGATCTTTTGACGATGTGAGGCCCAGGAATCGAGTTACGCGCTCAGAATCAGGGGGGTCACGATGGTCATTCCGGCTACCCAACTCTGTGGAACTTGCACCGGTCGCGTTGTACAATGTTGTTCGGTAATTGAAGTGCTTCGATTCATAGTTAACATTCCGTAACGTTGTTCCATCTCCACTCAATGTTATGTCTGAAGAAATGTGAGCTTTATCTTTGATCAGGTCAATTGACTTACTTTGCGAGTGATTAGCTTCATCAACTATTTGCATTTCTGCTGCAATACCACCCTCCAAAACTACGCGCCCAACTGTTCTTTCGCTGATTTTGTCCGGCACCTCGATACCAAAGTGTTGCGCCACAACATTGATAGCCTTCCCTACATGCTTCACCGGAATGTTGCATTCAATCAGGTCGCGAACGAGGATTCGAGCATTGTCAGTTACTACCCCGTCCTCCTTGAGGCGACGTCTTGAGGTTAACGCAAGTGCATCTACAACCTCCGCTGACTTCGATTTCGCAGTCAAAGCCCGGGAAGCTTTCATTTGAAGGGCTTTGTTTTGTTTGCGAAGGTGTTCATTCGAGTCTTGAAGGTGAGACGTCGTTTTGGCAGTTTCCTCTTGTTGTTTCTTGATTAGTCCCTCCATTTCCCTTTGTGCCACCTTCATCTCGTCCCGTTCGGCCTCCATCTCCTTCAGCTTTTCCTCAAGCATCTCCTCCTTGACTTTCCTTCGATTATCTCGTCGACGGTTGTTATCGCGTTGACGGCGTGCGTCAGTAAGCAGGTTCTCGGTCTTCTGGAGCTGCAACTGCATCACTGAAAGGTCGCGCATCAGGGAAAGTTCTTGCAGTGAGTGCTCTGGTCTGTTTTCCTTGTCGGAGTGGATGTTGCGAAGATTCATTATCACCTGGGAAGTCTGCAACATCGATCGCGACTTCCGGCCCAGTTTCCACGTGTCTTTGCCCATTATACAAAGGACCTATGGTTGACGAGTGAATGTATGCAGAGGTGACGACGATAACGCGTCGCCGACGTCGGTAGTCGCGCTTGAATCGCGCTTTCATTACTTTGTTTAATGAGACACGTGATCATCGACGCGTCTTCTACCATGCCATTCTCCCGCCGTGGATTGCTGCTTCATTTGTCAAGCAATTCTTTCAAATTTTTGCAGGTACGAAGGGCTGGAACCTGGGATGGATTTGTTCAGAACAGAATTTTATAGAGGGGGTTGCAAGGCTTGAAATAAGAAACCAAATGGCGGAATATTTGTATTACTGATCTAAATTGTTCATGTCCACCTTGACTTATACTCCATCTACATACATCTGCACTTAAATTGGTATTTTACTGTTGTGTCGAAGTAAATACGAGGAGTCAAGACGATTGACCATTTCTTGACGAGGTCTTTGGTGATGGGAAAATACGGCGGAGTTGAAAATTTGGCAGTGGGTTGCCGCTCCCCACTAATTTGACATATCGTGTCATTTCAGTGATGGGCATGCTGATGTGTTTGATATGTATGCAGACACACTGCCGGCTTCTTTATTTCCAGAGGTTGTTAATTTAAAATACCTCAGCACGGTTTCTGTTATCATATGGAGATCGGATGGCACTCCGAAGAGCTTCAAATGACTTTCTTAATTATCAGGGGGTCTCCAGGATGGATTACCTAAGGTCTTTCCAGGTTTGCGCATCATGTGTCTTGGACAATACGACACATCACTCTTTGATGCGTACGCGGGTATTGCCGTACTTGATGTTTTACATGGCCACAAGCCACGCTTGGTCCTCGTACATATACTACATAGTCGCAGTATAGTCTTTCTAGTAGTAGAACATTATTTCATAATGTCCACATGTAGTTTATCCTCTAGAAGTCTTGGAAGTATTATCGCAGGATAAAAGTTTGAGTTTCCATATTAAAAATCCATTACATGTTTCTAAACCCTTGGTAGTAATGCAATCTTGTCCCTGCATTGGGTGGTTTACTCTAGAGCTTCTTTATACTCTATTTCATAGTGGGTGAATCCTAGATAGGCCCCAAGTATAATGTCACGGCACATACTGCTGCCAGCTCCAAGGCCTTAGTCCTATGTTCAGACTCGACGCATATGCACTTTTAGTCTACTGAACCGGGTATGTTCAAAGACTCTTTTATATCATTGCAACTGTATATAGTATATGTACAGAGAAGACCATTTTAATGGTAAAATCACAAAAATCGGATTTTATACGGTTGAATATGTTTCACCTGTATCACTGTGGAATCCGGTAGGAATCAGTAGAGGAATAGAAAGTATTGATTAAAACACATGTAAAACATAGATAGGGGTTCCTGGAGTATATAAGGAGTGCGCTGGCAGGTCAAAACGCAAGCAATCGCCCCCCTGTTGACTAGCTAGTTGCACTCCAAGTAGGAACTTAGGAGGTGGACAGTTGTAATCAATTAAAGGAGATTTCTTCATGGTCAGAAAAGTACAGTGTGAACGAAGCCAGCGTGCTTGGGAGTCAACTTACTTGGAGACTTTTGAATAAGAGGTTTTAAGAACACAGTATCATTTAGACAAGACAGTGTACTCGTACCCTTAGTTTTGGAGCATAGTGACATAATAAAAACTCATGGGAGTCATAAAAGTCAATTGAAGTCATGTTTTGTGTTAATAAAAGAAACTGTGATCAAAGAACTTTGCATTTAAGAGACCAAGTTCCCAGAAAAGACATACTTTGTTCTATTGAACTATTCTAAACCACACTTTATAATAAAAACCCATTTTGAATGAAAACTCTTGAGACTTAAACCTAAGAAGACAAAAGTGGTATTTCTTAATACCAAAGGCCCTCAAACTTGTGCACTGAGATTGTGATAGTGTGTGTGTGTGTGTGTGTGTGTGAGTAAGTGTTTAGGTGTTTAGGGTTTTCCAAACATGCTTGATCCTTGTTTGCGTGTTTTGCACTTTCACGGTCATCCCCGTGCAATGTGTATCAATGGGAGAGAATGTGTTCCCACTTTCTCAGCCTTCTTCTGCTGATCAGGACTCCCTTCCACACCCGAAGCAGCCTTCACACCCTGCAGAATGTTTCTCCTCTTCTCAAACACCAACATCCTCCTCCTCCCCTCTCCCAGCTCAGCAGCAGTGAAGGGTCGAAAGACGAATAATTGTGGTATCAACTTGTGTTCCCCAATCCTGTTTGGTCCCCCCTTCTTTGTGCTTTTCCTTGCTGTTTTCAATCCCTTTGCTTCCCCAAGTCAGTCCAGGATGGCCTTCCACATTACCGCACTCCCCCTTAAGCCAGAAGCCCGAATCCCACTCCCACCTCATAATCTCACCCCATTTTTCCCAATGTTGGGGAAAGAGGAGGAGAATGAAGCTGTGAGGATGGAGGTGCGGGAAGGAGGGTTTGGATCATTCTTCTTTCCGCTGGTTCCGAGTTCATACTCCCTTCCACATCGAAGAAGATCATGCCGAGGGCGAAGCACAAGCAGACGCCATTCGGTAAAGTATGTGGATGCTTGGAGGGTTTGAGGTGGGTGAACTTGGTGGTGTAATGATGTCGTCGTCGATTAGATGAGGAGGTTATTCGAGCGTGGACGTGATGACTTTCTCGAGCCCTTCTGCACGTAATCTGAGACTCTGTGCGAGTCTTTCATCCTGGAGCCATAGCCTGTCGTCTTCCTTGTCATTGCGGACACCCGATCTCGCTCTAAGGACCCCTGCATCTTCATCTTCACTTCCGAGCTCGTCCTCCTCCTCATAATTCTCTCTGACGGTGTGCATGATTAGGTGACAATCAGTCATGCTAAGCCCAGCTCTAGCCTGGGCAGAGCGCGTTCTCCCTGCGTTGAGTTGAAGCATTCAAATGTTAAAACATGATGGATGCAGCGTACCATAGACCCACAACATATGTTCAACTATCATCGTGCGTGTGCTCTTCTCGCACAGAGGGATCGAGTGGAGATGGTGAACATGCCACTTGTGTGCCGGAGGCTTGATAGTGGGCTGGGCGGGAGTTGAGCTGCTTGGAGTGGCAGCTTGGTGGCAGCAGTACCTGATGTCGATGGTCATTTGTTAATGGGGTCACGTGTGTTGCAGGCTGGGGCGATGAATTCTGTTACTCCTGAAAGGTATGCTGCCATTGAATAGACCCGCAATTGGTTTGAGCAGCTCGAGGAAGAGACTGTTTCGAGGAAAGGATGACAAACAATAAACAACAACCTCTTTTCCTCTTTCTCCGACATGCCGTTGAAATGCTCTCAAACGTGCAAACTCAGTTAATCTGCTGCTTCAATGTAGATTCAGAATGACACTCGAATAGCGCTGCTTTATATTGGTTGTAGCTGCAATGACCTTTTCCCCGCAAACATCACATGACTTGTTCTATGCATATTGTGGTTTCGGACCAGCCATAGCTTACACATCACATCTCTCCCCTGCTTTGGAATTCGACTATCTTGACCTGTAATGTTCAAGATTGCTTGAAAAATTTCTCCAGGCATCCACGATCACCATGTTGTCACCATGCGCGCTTTTTATGCGACACAAAAAGTGGCCAGACGTCCCTCACCATCGGGACACAGCAAACACCTATTAAAAATATCTGCGCATTTCCCCAATACCTCAGTCTTAGTATCAGTTCAGCTTTGGAGCTGTTTTTGTGGGCAATTTTTAAGAATTGTACGTCTCCGAGCATGAAATGAAAGCAAAGCTGTACTCAAATACGTCAAACATGTCCATAACCGATTTTGTGGGCAAGAGTCAAAGAACTTTGACAATACCCTGTGAGTATGCCAAATATTCAATGCATATTAAGATATTCATGCAGTATAACAAAGTTCACTGACTTCATGCTAGATCCAAGTCACATACTGTGGACGACCTGTCCAACTCTATACTACTAAGTAATCCACAGATATCAAGTTATTTCACTCCTTCAAGTTATTTCGCTCCTCCTCAATATCTCCTGACCACCAGGGTAGACGTCTTGAATTAACGGACATGTAAGACACATTCCGAGCACTTCACTTGATCACTCCTACAGGTCCTGCATTTGAATAGGAGTGTGTCATGACTCACCAGAAGTACAAGTGCACCCATTTATGGTGGCCAACTTCACAAGAGGCATCTCTGGGCCAAACAAACTCACTGTCCGATTCTCGCTATTGTTGTATGGCTTTGTCCATGCTCATGGACAGGGCGTAGTATCGGAGTGGAGAGGTGACCACTGACGCGGCTTTTTTGACAAAAACACCCCCCGATACCCACTTATTCACTGGGTTGTACTTGAGCATGATGAGCAATATCGAAGATTTTTCCATCTTCGGGCGATTATTGATTGGGCAAGTTTCCGGCTACATCATAATCTAATCTTGTTTGCACAGCACGGAAGATGTGCCTCCGCTGATCAAACTCTTCCACTCACCATCTAGCACCATTGAAGATAGCTCTCCAAATGGCCCCAACCACAGCTGGATCCGACAGAAGATCAGCGTCTCCATCTGGGCAAGGCTCATCAGACGTGGAGCAGCAAGTCCTGGCGCAGACTTGTTCTCATCAGAAAAATTGGCATATCAATGCATTACATAGATTGAAACTCCTGACACAAGCGGTCCTCGTTACATTGTGTCGTCCTCTATGAGGTGCTGTTGCAATTCTCATACAAATTCTCTGCTTAATCACTATACTATTGCCTATTCACCAAAGACAGTCCAATTGCAACGAACAACCTGGGCTATGTAAACAACCTATTCACCAGTTGCACTCTTCTGAAACTCGCCACTCCCTCATGTGCCACTTTATCCTTCAAAAAGCATCTCTGCAAGATCAAGGGATTGTCGGGAGCTACAAATGCCACACTCTTTGAATCGATTTCAAGTCAGACAGCTGTTATGGAGTCCTTTAAATTGGCCCTCAAGGAGCCTTTTGGCCTGGGGATATCTAAGGATGACCCCATGGTTTTAGCAGTTGAGGCAGAAGATGCTGAAAAGCCGTCAGTGAGCACGGCACAATCGAAGGGTCTCCCTGAGGCTGTGACGTCCAAGCCTCGTTATGGTGCGAACGGGAATTTCATCATGTATCATGCACACCCACGTTACTCATTATTATCAATCAGTTTACTACTGGCTTTACAAGGACGAAGGTGCAATGACTTCCAAAACATCCTTTGACCCAGATGATTCTTCCTTGAGTCAAATTGATGTGCTCTCTATCATGCCACTTCAAACGGTGTCTTCCCTAAGGTCACAGATTGTAAACGCTGAGGGTAGTGTTTGCAAGTTCAGTTCAGTCCAGTTTTTTGCCCCCAAAATGCGCAACCGTGGACCGCAACGGGTCTAGGACCGACCCAGATATTGAGGGAACTGAACCGAACCACCTAGAACCGGTCTTTTGCAGTCTATGGAGCCGGTTCAGACCGATCCAGACCGGTTTTTTCGCATATAATTTATTACCAATATAAACCAGTTGTATCTCAACTATTATTACTCTGAAAAATAAACGGGTTATATAATATAGTAAAGCATGTAAACACCCATCATTCTACCAATTTTGAAGAGATTTAATGAAGATTTGACATAGCTATGACTGAAACCGAATTACATCTCCTAGAGACTTGGGTAAAATATGGATTTGGTTATATCTTTCTCAATTCTTAACCATTTTTGATGAAACAAAAACCCAATAAAAGGTAATAAACGTGGTTACAAGGGTATGTAATGCATGTGACCGTTTAACCGGTTGCAACCGATCAAAACCGGTCTTTGAACGGTTTTAAAAGATTTTCAAAATGAGGCAACCAGCAACCGGACCAACCCCAAATTGGGGCAACTACAATGGAAAAAAAGACCGGACCATGGACTGGTTCAGTTTGGTCCACCAGTTTTTTGCGGTCCTATGGACTGAACCTTTAAACACTTGCTGAGGGTATCGCCGATCACAAGATTCAACTGTTTCGGGATATGGACGGCGAGGTGCTGATGAATGATAACGACCATATGTCTTTCCGAGCACAAGTCTATCTGGGCCATGTTGGGGATGAGCCCATAACTTGCCCATAACTCTGGTCTGTAGCCACGAGTTGAAGGCCGAGAAAAATCAGAAGAACACCTAGGTAGTGCCAGACCTACTGGCAATCTTCAACAAACCGCTCAAAGGCTCAGTGGCTGGGAGTGAGTAAAGTTATCATATATTGAAGTAACTCTTATGCTTCCTTCAATCCACATCCGGATGTTCAATCAGACTGGCTCCCATTTGCGGCACACGAAGTCCTGTATACAGATGGCGTCAAAACGACAGGCTATATCACTGGGTCACATAATTATCTTCACCATCACATAAGCAGTACAAAGACAATTGTCATGCCTTTTTGTAGCGGCTCTCTATAGTGGATACATTGCAGTGAAATCTGCCAGTAGAAAGGACTGTGAGTCTACTCTATCTCCAAATCTTGGGCAACTTGTGACATTAATTAAATCGGTCCGCTAGTCATCTATGATGGTAAGTGGCAGGTGCTTATCAGTTGTGCCAGTGATATTCGCTCTTTGATTCTGATTTTCTCCACCACTGCCTACTAGTGCATGCCAGGCTCTGCTAAGAATTAAACCTCTTTCAGTTTCATCTCAAATCCCACAACTTCACTTGTGTTTACCAGATGCATATATTTCACCCGAAACCAGTAGAAGAGATTTGTTGGTATTCAGGTCAATTGACCTGAAAGGCTTTTAAGCCATTCCCAGGGTCTGCACCTGTTCATGAATTTGGAGTAGACGTCCCTCATCACTGCTTATCAAGTGTTGCCCGATTTCTGAAGATTCTTCAGACTGGGTGAACATCTCACATAAAATCCAGTTAACGACAATATTTTTAGTCAATAACTTTATGTAAGTGAATTTCAAAGTACACCAAGATAGAAACATTGGCTCATGTCTTATGTCTGGAGGTGATCTTGAAAAAAAAAACTTTTTTCAAGTTGAGGGTTCGAACTTGTAGCCTTGGGGACTTAGCCAAGGCTATCCTACCTGCAACACAACATAACCACTTCACCAAATGATAATATAACTGTTGCGTAGTAACCAGAGAAGGTGACCAAGAAATTTGTGTACATGAATAACTTGGTTTTGCAAAGACCCTGTCCAGAATCAAAGGTGTGCAGACAAGATTTGAGCATTCAATGAGCTTAAATGCACTTGCCGAACCGATCGGCAGTGCCCAACCCGAGTGTAAGCTCATGCCAGCAGGTTGGTAGGCAAGAGCCTGAGTGGACCAAGCAAACGACCCAAATTGAGCGTCACTCAGAGAAAAAGGGCTAAGTTATCCCTCATACCCACACTTCTCCCGCTATTGGCTACAAGTGAGAGTTAATTCTTTGCCAAAACGATTAGATAGCTTCTCTATATTTAGAATATAAGTTCCTTTTGTTTCCCAGGGCGCAGGGCATATGCAAGCCAGCAGGCAAGCATCCAGAGAGCCCTGCACACACAGTTTACATGCCTGTGGGATGTGAATCCCTGGCAGAATGCGATGAGGATTAGTGTTTTTTTGGTCCCTATTGAATATATCTTATTATTTACAATTGTTTATTTCTAAACTATGACATCCAAGGTCTGGTCCTCCAATCCATCAATTTCTCCCCCCTGATGGAGGCAGAAAGTGTTCAAGAACAAGCATTAATATGTCAACATATATCTGATATATTTTATTTAACTTTTATAGTGAAGGAACAAGTGGGAGATTGAAAAACGGGGATCCTCAGAGTCGACC